GATTGCCAAGCAACGTACAGTTGGTCCTCTCCGGCGCGGACGGTCTAAAATTCGATAAGATAGCAGAAATGGTGGACAAGATGATGGAAATATATACAAGCAACCTGGCGGTCATCGTGTACAGGGGACAAGTAAACAAAACAAAAGCTGCCTCCTCAGAAGTTACGACACAGTCAGAAGAGTGCATCAACGGATTGGAAAAGCAGATCGCTACACTGACAACAACGGTAGAACGTCTAGTCCCCGATACAAGGCGACGACACCAAGGTCTACACGTATAGACACAAATGGGTTTTCACCATGACGGATGTGGCGAAATCCATAATTGGGGCAGACTTCCTGAACCACTACACATTCTCCCAGATTTGCGAAACAGGAAGCTCATCGATGCTTCGACAATGTTGTCTACATCAGGGATCGTAGCACCCTGTGTACAAATATTTCGACCGTGGCCAAAATTTCACCTCACCACAAGTTGCTAGCGAAGTACTCGGAGATCATTCGCCCGTCACCACCAGGTACCGCTCCTAAGGTAAAGGTTGCACACCATATTTTCACTTCACGTTCACCAATTGCTGAAACGCCGCGACGACTGTCACGGGACAAGCTTAAGGCTGCTAAAGCAGAGTTCCAGTTTATGATGGAACAGGGTTGGTGCCGACCATCGAAGAGTCCTTGGACCAGCATCCTTCATTTGGTGAAAAAGAAACAACCCCCTGTGGGGACTATTGGCGTTTAAACTGTGTGACAGTACCAAACAGCCACCCGGTCCCCCATACCCAAGACTTTGCAGCGAGGTTGGAGGGGAAGCAAGTGTTTTGCACTATCGACCTGGTGAGGGCGTATCACCAAATCCCAGTGGCGGAGTAGGACATTCCGAAGACCGCAGTATGCATCTGATTTGGCTTAATTGAGTTTACAGTTATGACGTTCGACTTACGTAAGACGGCTCAAACATTTCAAAGACATTTCAGTGTAGTGCTGCACGATTTAGTCTTTTGTTACTCGGATAGCGAAAACGAACATTTAGAGCACTTGAACATTTTTTCGGCGACTACAGCAATATACAGGGTTAGTTCGCCATCTCTTCGTCACCTACAGCCTCTTTGAAGTGCAAATCTGCAGCCTCTGAGCCTCTTCGAGCGAGCATTTACAAAAATGCCATAGCACATGGAACAGGCATATGCAACAAAGAATATGATCTTAAACCAGGTTTTAACACACGCAGTTTTAGGATTTTAAGAAGACCTTCACATTTATTATATCTAAAATGGCACTGCACACGATTTAATTCGACAGTTTAAAGTTGTGGGACGAGTAGCGCTAATGGTTCTAGACTTTTTGACTGTCTCTTCACATTAACCACAGCAATGTACAACCATGTCGCGGTGCCCCCGCAAACGTCCGCGTGTCCGTTGGCACCTGGGGCAAATTTTATTCCGCAACTGTATACTCCATCCCCCGCGTGACAAACAGCAGTGACATGGCACTGGCTACCCCAAGCAGAGTTTCCTCTCCCAGCAAGTACAACTTAGCGCTATGCTTGGTGATGCAAAACATTGACATGAGTGATTTTGTTTCACTCTGTACATTAATCAAAGAACAAATAGCATATGAAAGGTTTGCGTGCATTCAGATAATGTAAACAGTTTTAAACTGTTATAACAATAATTAGTGCTACACAATCCCTCAGACAGCTGGGCGCAAGGTCTAGGGCAGAAAAAAGTAGTCACAAAACAGACATTTATTTTTCACAATTTTGATCACGTATTTTATGTAAGTATTATTATTATATGGAAGTATTTTATGTACATCAAGATAAAAAAATCTTTAACAAATGATGCACAAGCATTCAACATTATCCTAATTTTGACAGGGTTATGGCAAAGTGAACCAAATTTACATTAGCTAAATTGTAAAACTAACTAACTGCACTAATAATACCAAAAGTCTAACATCATTTTTATTACACGAGTGTTTTAAATATATCATTCTTCTGTGTTATTCTTTGTTTAGAAACTTGAGTTAGAAACTTTCTCATCATCTCTAGAGAGTTTATTTTTAAAAAATAAAAAATAACTCCACTGTCTGCCCTATGAACGCCCATTTTAATTTAACAGTTATCGTCTATGAATTTCTTTTGATATACCTTCCAGGTTTAGGCAAAGCTCAACTACCCACCCACACCGATATTGTCCTGGTGATAGCATCTTTAATTAGACACACAAGAGTGTGTATTCTACAAAGGGCGACCGAATTTGAATCAAATTTTCGCGCTGAAATTAATTAATAGCAGCGTGAAATCACATTTGAATAATTTGAATTTGAAAGAAAAAAAATCATGAAAAAAATCGTTAAACATACGCAACCAAATATGCACGTAGCGCTTAGGGGTTAGTTCTGCATGTTTAGTTAGAGGGCGGCTTGGTAGGAGAGGGCGGCATGTTGAAAGCGTGAGTCATTATGTTTCGGTTCAGTGTAGTAGATGCATGGTGAAAGGACGCTGTAAGTAGCTAGGTTTAAATTAGCTGGTTTGGTAATTAATAAAAGGGAGGAGGCATTTGTTTAACGACAATCAATCGCAACCAATCCTTTCCTTCCCTTACTAGGAAATTTCATGAAATTCATTTAGTCAGGATAATAATTCTTTGTTTAACAAATCATAAATAAGTTTCTGGATGCATATGCGTAAGTGTTCACTTCTTAATTCTTCATACAAGACTGCTAATAGTTCATTTATGGCAGTTAACTTAATAAAATTCATTATACTGCGAACTGGCGGGGGGGTTAAAATAATTTCTTCCCTTTGGCGGTTATCATGGTTATTATCATCGTTATCATGATTACATCACCGGGGCATGTCCTCGCAACATTAAAGATTGATTACATCACTGAGGCATGTCCTCGCAACGTTAAAGATTGATGATTGATTACATCACCAAGGCTTATTCCTCGCAACACTAAAATATACATCATCGAGGTATTCCCTCGCAACGATAAAATTTACGTCACCGAGACGCTTTTTCCTCGCAACGATGACTGAATATTTTTGTGTTTATTTAAATATTATGCGTTTTCTTGGGGTAACCACTTTCCGGTATGCTAAACTCTCAAATAAGTATTTTTTTAAAGTAACCAATCACTTAAATGATATAATTTAACATAATGTAAACCCTTTGTTTGAATTGTTGATAAAGTGTGGCAAGTACTAATCTCATGTAAATTTTGTTAACTTTGCAATTTTTCACCTTATACAATATTTCTCAATCTCACAGTGTTAACCTCAGTAATATAGCCCCTAGAATTACATTGTGTTTTCTAGGGGCTATACTCAGTAAATTTTCTTTGTTGTATAATTTTAATTGAACGTAAATTTCCATGCTTTGCAGTTTTAACCTCACATAATAATTTTATTTGCACAAGGTTCTTTCACACTAGATCTTTTGTTTTATAAATCTTTGTTAAGTTTTGTTTTGTAAATATTTTGTTGATGAATGTTTCCATCGTATAAATTATCTGATGTCCAATTTTAATCTCGCATAAGAATTATTTGTTGTTTAAAATTTCACAAGATTGTTTGGCGAATTTAAATGTTGTTTATTGCTCTTTTGAAGCGTTAACACTTATTCAGTTGTCGACAATATCAGAGTTAAAAGAAACTGAACATTTAAAAATGGAATTGAGGTTAAATAACACCGAAACACGTAACAGAAGCGTGGGGCGCGGCTCCTCGTGGGGGCTAGCGGAATTTGTCGCGCCATCTGCACAAGGGATGCAGGCTTTGTCAGTGGGAACGGTCTGGACGACGTGAAGCTGTCAGCCTTGACATTCCAACGAACAGTTTTCGACCGAAACGGCCTGGTTAGCGCGGTACGTCTCTTCGTTAGGTAGAGAGGTGCTAGGCGGTAGGCTTGCCGATAGATAGAATCACCGTGGCAGGGGAGACCAGCCCGGCCGGGAGCCCCAAACTCCGCTTATGCTAGAACGCCCCAGGGGTATTTTTAATGTGCTCCTGTTAACTGCCGTAATTTTCAATTTGACGCCACACGCCCATAATAACTTATGTATTTGCATCCAGTTACTTTAATTCAGATTTTGCTTTGTTTTATTAAATTTGTGATGTTCAAATATTTGCATTGATTCCAAACATATGTGTAGGATTTTGTGTTTGTTCGGTTTTCATATGTGTATGTCTGTCAATTCGCGAGTCTCTTTTCTTTCATATTTTTAAGGTGTTTCATTTGAAATGTCGGTGAATATACGAAGGGGGATGTTGGGGCTAATGCTCGCAGCTCTTTTCCTCCTAGAGAGGGGGTGCGAATTTTAGCCCCTCCAAAAAATGTTGTCTATTATTTCTTGCGCTCTCGACTCACACGCAATGTATGCTCACTTGTATGAAAGAACGTCTTCCCGCCATTTAAAAAAAAAAAAAAAAAAACACAACGTAGGTTCCTTTTTGTTAGACGATCACAGCCAAGGCCAAATTTTAAATTTTTCACGGGTCTTTCAAACTTTTTCAAGGTCAATTTAAGGCGGGAAGTTTGGGTTATCACAAGGTATTGAATAAATATAGATAGAGTATGCCGTACACCTTCCATACAGTCAAAGTGTGACCCACAGGTGTGACCCCACATCTCTCGGGGGTCTCAGGTGAGAGAACCGAGGCGCGACCCCCACATTACAGTGGCAGACGAGTTTCAGTTAAATACGATTTAAAAAAAAACAAAAAATATTGATTTTTAACCAAAAACTGTGGTTAGTACACTTCTCATCCGTTCGAGTATCTGGTCATTGTAAACATCCACTAAAATCTGGAACAATTACAAATGTAACTCACTGAAATTAAAACTAATACACAGCAATAAAATCTAGCTATGTTACTGATTCAACCACTTATCCGGGTTTGTGTATGTGGGATACAAAACAGTAAGCGTTGTACTCCCTCTATACATAAAATTTCTTTGGTACTTTATGATACAGTGGCCTTGATGTCCGATGTTGCATGCTCGTTCTCTGACGTCTGATGTTCTATCATGTCTTCCATCCTTAACCTCAAATTTGTTACATGTTGGACTGTTCTGTCCTATCTTAAATAACACCCTCTGTTTCATTATAATTGGCCACTTGAAGTAATAGCGAATTAACAATGACTTTCATAGATCCTTCTTCGTCAGCAGAACAATTAGAAGACGATAAATTAAAGAGTTCAAGGCGAAGTTCATCTTCGGAAGATCGTCAGTGGGGTTACGATTTGTATCCACAACGTCGTAAAAAAAGTACAGAAACGCATGGAATAACAAGTTTGTTGGATACCAAAGGACAAGAAAACATTAGTAAAATTAAATGTGAGCGAACTATATATAAATGCATTAAGCAGAGTCCCATAATTAAATTAATGATGGGTGCGTTGAAAAGTTCTGGTTGCCCAGTCGACATTCGTAGGCACATCTCTTGTGAAGAATGTGCACCCACAGTATCTGGTGGTTATGACCCCATACTTAATCAAGTGGTAATATGTCAGAATTCAGTACATAAAATAGGACATATACAGAGTGTTCTTTTACATGAGATGATTCACATGTTTGATTATTGTCGACACGACCTAAATTTTAAAAACCTTGATCACTTAGCATGTACTGAAATCAGAGCTGCCAACTTGGCACATTGCAGTTTCTTGTCAGCATGGACTCAGGGAGATGTTTCAGTTTTCAATATTAAACAGGCTCATGGTGACTGTGTCAAAAGTAAGGCGTTGAGTTCCATTTTAGCTACCCGTGATGTTTCTACCACTGAAGCAATTGACGCAATAGAAAGAGTGTTTCCCAAGTGTTACAGTGATTTGGAACCTATTGGACGACGGATTAGGAGAAATTCTGATGATATGTTCAAAGCATATACAGAAGGATATTATTATGGATATGATAATTCATAGTCTTTTTTGTATTTATATTTAAGCACAAAAGTAGTGAAAATAAATTTTTAAACAATGACTTTATTTTAGTTAAAAAAAATCACAGTGTAAAAGAAGTGGAGCACAGTTGACAGCTACGTTAATTACAGATGAGAAAATTTAAAGAATGTTTTTATACGAAGCATCTTTTTAAAAAATTGTTTTTTTTAAGATTGCTGACATTTTCAATACTACAAATGCAAAATATTGTTATGAAACATTAAACTCGTTTCTTAAAAAAAAAAACTTACAAATGAGTAAACATTAAAACCAAACGTTTTAATTAATTCTGCAATCATCTACGTTGTATTATAATTAACCAAAAACTCAAAACTACAGTTGCTTGCAACTTTTTTGTTTTATAACAAAAATAGTAAGAATAGTTTGTAAAAAATAAAATTTTAAACTTTCTCTAAGACGGTTGGTATATATAACTATACAATTATTGTTATTTGAGTGGTTATTACAGTGAATTTCGTGTATACTTGAACAGTGCATGTTCATTATGGTGCAAACTAATGAGCGTACCAGTAAAAATTAAAACTTTATCGGTAATATAATTGCATGTGATAGATGTTCTGCCAGACTACTTATTTTTTTGGTACAGTGTTGCTAATTTACATCATAATGGATATCTCCTATTTCAGTTAGTAGTTTTATAAAAATGGTAATACATATAATTTCAAAGGTGCGCTAATTAAATCTATGGAAATGACATTTGCAGATACAACTACTTGAAGTATTAATTAAAAAAAATTCGATTCCGTACACCTAATAAAATATATATGTATCTTTTGCGCTAGCCATACATAAATGATACGACACATACAATAAAATTAAGTTAATTTCGAATTAAAATGTGAAGTTGACCCAAACTGGACTAGTTAAACAGTGAATACCTACAAGTGCTACATATCACAAAAGAATGGTTCTATGCGAACGTAAAAGGAGACTTCAAATTAAAATCTGAAACTACAACTTCAACGTATTAATTAGTTATATTCTACGGTAATAAAACCGTCTATACATTTATCACACAATTTCTTGTATTAACGTTGTTCACACCATATACACGATACCTGTTTCATAAAAAATACTATGTGATCTAAAAAAAGTCTTCTATAGCAACCACAGAAATTTAATGTTATGAAAAATTATGTTGGGAACACCTACATGATTATTTTAAAAATAAATTTCATGGCCTACTATACGCCTTTTTTTATTATAAAGTAGTAGTCTCATTGTTGTGTAGATTCTGTAAGCGATTTGATCACTGGATTCTACTAATTTACAGTTTAATATAAATTAATTTTGATATATTTACTAGAAACTACATCCAGATATAGCTAACTAACAAGAGTTTTATTTCATAAAACAAGATTCTATGTATCTATTAATTGTAAATCAAATTCATACTCAAATGCTAATAAGAACTACTTGTATACTATGGAATAAGTTATAAATCATTCCCACCATGTAAGACACCACAAAAATATGTATTGAGTAAACAATTTACAACGTAATGCTTATTGTCATACCAAATTTCTCAGGTCGTGGTAATTATTGTTCATACCAGTGCCCTGTACGTATTTTTAATTTTATGGTCATGGCTTTTGGTCACAAAGGTGCGAACTTCAACAAAGGGTACTTACATTCTACAATTAAAAAAAAAAGGAACATTGTCATCATTTTGATTGATGAATGAATTATAAGATAATTTGAGCGTTATTATTTTAGCCTATTTTTATTAATTACTATTCAGTGGTGCTCATTGCCCCTCTTTTGTTAGATAACCCACTGTTTCAACAATTTAACTAGCGCTGCATGAAAACTATTATCAAAAGTAATTAAAATTATTGTTAGTTTTTTATGCTTTGGAAGAAAATTATTTCATAAATATATTATAGATAAAGCATAGTTATTACATTCGCATATTAAGGCTCCTATTCACTTGGATGATTTAAACCACCATAACATGCTCGTATAATAATATACCTATTGTTACTAAACTACTAGTGGTTACTTAAACATTGCATCAGTTTGAAATTTCTATAATCTGCAGTTTTAAGTCAAAAGAAAAAAAAAGTGGGTTCAATCAAACACTTCAAATACATAACTATTTGAAAACTTTGGGTCCATTATTTCCAAAATTGTGTCAACAGTTACAGTTTGTGTTTTTGGAATATGGTATATGAAAACAAACATTTTAAGTTAAAAATAATAACACTTACATAATTTAATGTTATACAATAACAATAATAATTAATCTTTAAATTTATTGTGAAGATAATCACCAATTTTCTTTTCAACCACAACAATAAAATTCACTTATATAACCTGAATGCCTAATTGATTCACCAAAATACTTTTTGAAGGATAAAACAGCAAACATTTTCTTTTGTTTATTCTGACAGAATAACGAAATATTACAGGTATAAAAAATCTTGAAAAATAAAAATTTACGGTTCGCAATTCTTCAATACATTTGACTATGTGACACATGAATTCCTTTATTAATAACTGAATTAAAAATTTAATATATATCACATCGAAATTTACGCTATAATGATTTTTACGTTAACCTCTATTTAAAATATCGGCTACTTGTTTAATTGTGCTGAGATTTTTAAACATATAAGCTTTAGTTTCCCATAGCATTTTACATAATTTTTCATCAGAAGTTTCATTCATAGCAATTTCTTCTGACATTTGTGGTGAAAATCTGAAGTAGGGTACACCGATTGTGGAACACCAAGACCTGGCTCTGTCTACTACTCTTCCATCACTAGCAGTTGCCTGCCAAATGCATATTTACTAATGTTGCAAAGCAATAATTTCATCAATTACCTGATCCACTAACAGTGTACCTAATGTGGATATACCACTGTATAATTTTACTCCATCCAAGATACTTCCAGGTAGAAAAACATCTATTTCTTTTACGGGAGTTACCGGAATCAAACCTGTTCCTAAACTAACAACTACTGACACTGGAGTTGCTTCATCTTCGCGGTCAACAGCTTTTAATGCTAGATGATGTTCATGAATTTCAGACAAGGCATCTAAAGTTGGATTGTTTGCGATGAGACCACCGTCAAGGAAATTTCCAAAAGCTCTGAAAGGAGTCTCAATAAATTATTTGTTGTTTCGACTTATGCTTTATTTTAGACATTAAATCTTTATCTAACTTTGCACAATGCACCAGTTTTCTAAAAGATTTTTCTAAAAAACCTTGGATTAACAGTAGAATCTTAGGTTTAGTCCGTAAAAAAAGAGCATTATGGCGTGCCTTTAAAAGAACGGGGTCTGAATCGGACTAGAAAACGCACAGACTTTTCGAACCATCTGTTGTCTGTCATTAGAGAGGCTAGACTCAAATACGAGTACTACACTGCAGCAAATATATTTTAAACCCCGTACAAGTACATCCGAACAAAGGTTTCGGAGCCAGTGAGGAGCGTTCATGTTAGGGATGCCTCAGGTCCACTAGTCAATAATTACGAAGATGTGGCAGGTATTCGAGGAGACATTCTCTGAATTTTTACATAAGAATCGCCCTCTTGGATGTTCCAGTTTGTTGGCTCCATTTCCGAGGTAGAACTTTCTAAAGACCTAATATTGGATAAACTTAAAAAGTAAAAAATCTCAAAATCCCCGGGCCGAGACTTCTTTAAAGTCTTAAAAAACTTAATTTTTTCCACCCGGCTTATCATCTTAATGGGGTAGTCATTTAAGTCAAGTTTTCTTCCCTCTGAATGGAAGACGACAATTCTACGCCTGATCCTTAAAAAAGGAGACAAATTCAAGGTCTTTAAATATCCCAAAAAAAAAAAAAAAGATATAACCCCATCCCTCCCTAAAACACGTAATAAATGGAGGGCCTGTAACTAGACGAGCTAGATTCTGCAACCGAGAATATAATCACTTTATTGCACATATAATACTTTCGTGTTCTCATTTATATTCTGTTGATGTGAACCAAAGCAGTTTCGTGATAATTTTATTTTCACGACGTATCATTTTTATAGTTACCATTACTTACCTGAAATATGTCGGGGCTGCACCTGTAGCACGTCCCACTTGCCATACATATTGTTCTTCAGGTGGTAGAGGTAGTTCATATGGTGAATTATGTTCTACACTCAAGATATCACTTGGACTTTGGTAATTTCTGAATAAATGTAATTCTACTGGTTTTCTGTCAGCCAGAACGCCTGTTACCATGACTTTTGGATGTGTTATATCAGCCATGACAGTTTCTGCGCCAAAGGTTTCTTTCAAAACATTTTCTAATGGTTCACTTGGATAAGGACGCATTCCGACGAAAGTGTATTCTTTAATACGAAAGTACAAACACAAACACTCTCGCATGGTTTTACCAGTGGCTATTCCCAGAGCCAGAATTCCCCCTGTACTTGTTCCCGCTAGCCAATCGAAGCAATGATTAATTGGCTTTTGTATGATATCTTCTAATTCCAGCAACATTTCTACAAGCACCAAACCCCTTATGCCTCCACCATCCAAACACAGAAGTCGTCCCTTCTTTGGAAAATCTCCGTCTTTATATTTCTGAGAGGCGATTTCCATTGCTGCTACATCCAACATTTGATTCAATACTTCTCTGTTAGTTGGTCCAATGACAGGTGGAGGGGGTATACCGTCATATGTACCACCATGTATGCAACCATCTGTACAATATGGAGTGCCCGGGGGACAACGTTCAGCGCCAACTGCATGAAGATAGTACAAAATTTTGGGTTCTTGTTCTTTGGTAATCAAGTGTCTTGATGAATGCCCTGCATTGTTGAGGATGTTCAAGTCAACACCAAAAATTATGAGACACTGTATTATCGACACGTTGCCCTGTTTCACAGCAAGGTGAATTGGACGATTTCCGTCGGCATCACCAATGTTAGCATCAGCTTGTCGACTTAAGAGAGCCACCACACATTCGAGACGATTTCGCATCACCATAATATGTAAAGCCGTTTTTTTATCAAAGTTGAGAGCATCAATGTGGCAATTCATATCAACGAGTGCCTCAATCACCTGTCGTGAACAGGCCCAATGTAAGGGTGTACCACCCATCTTCATGTCTTCCTTAAAGAGACTGTTGGGGTGGCTTTGAAGAAAGTCACCCACATAACCAGGTTGCACATTATCATCTATCAATCCTGAGGTTTTATTCACGTCGGCACCTGCTAGCAGTAGAGCCCTAACACAGTCAGGTTTGTCTGCTTGGCAAGCAAGATGCAATGGTGTGTACCCATTTTTATTGCGAGCGTTTAAACAATTTGGCGGAGTTCCTTGGGTTAAAGCCTAATAAAAAAATAAATTAGAATTAGAATCATTCTACAAACGTGGCACGAATTTCTGCATAATATTCATGTACGATATTTTTTCGACATTCATAACTTTAACGCAGCCGTATTAAAAATTGTTAATTGTTGTTGTACCTTTTTAAATGAAACATTTTTCGCATTACTAGTACATGAATGCTAGCAAAAAAACTAAATAAATTAATAAATGTTCGTTTTAACTTTTTATTTTGCGAAAAACAACCAACTGAAATATTTTCGTACGTTTTAAATATGGCATAATTTTGAAACACTACTACGAAGCACCTTAACGTAATACATATAATGGTATCAAAACGAGTTAGTGATATAGTTTTTAGAAAACGAATGCGTAAACAAAACAACTCTCATTGCAGTAGTCAACGGACATGGTAAATCAGGCGAGCAACATAGTTTTGTAACTAAATTGTGAATCATTTTTTCTGAAATATGTGTAACGTTGCGTCTAAGACTGTCATAGAAAAGATTTGAACAAAATTTATTTTAATTACGGATAATTTTGTACACTTAATATTTGAAATAGACACTGAAAAAGGCAAAACGTAAGATCCTGATTTTGAACTTAAAATTTTACGCCAATTTATTTATTACATTTGACATTTTCATTGCAACAGAAAGCGTTTATGAAGGTAAACGGTTGTGGGGGTACTCGATTCAGTTTGCTTGGGGTGAATTTCGGAAAGAATTTCGACAAAGTTCCGAGGAACCTCGTCTCTGCAGAGAAAAGAGGGAAGTGGCAGGTTGATAGATAGAACTAAGAGAACTTCAGAAAATATTGAAAATATTAAACAGGCAATCACTTTGTGGCTAACTGCATGGTGGTAATTTTAAATTTTAGGCGGCGCACATAACGCATTTCCCTTAAGGTGCAAAGTACTGTAAAAAAAAACAGAAAAGGTTTGCTGTTACAAGGTACTGATTGGTTGGTGGGTTTTCTAATATCCTGTGTAATAACATTGTAAAATTTTATTGTATACAAATGGAACGTTTTTAGTATAATTTGCACCAGAAGAGATGCATAGTGTTTCACCAACCACACCCTTCTTTTTTATTTCTTGAAATATCCAAAGCAGGATAATAAAATTTAATACGAGTAAATCAACTGAAAGACGATGATTTTGTCTTAGCACAAAACCGTTTGAATCTGTCAAGTTAAAATAATGAAATGTTTAAATTTTAAATGAATTATTTGACATACCTGTATTTGATATTGGTTTTTTTATTTTACAAAAAAGAATGAGCAAAAACATAACTACTCCATTTAAAGAAAAGTTAAGCCTACAGTGAAAGTATAATAAATAAAATCAACATTTGTAGAGAGAAATGGTTTAAAATTATGATCAAAATTAATCTTTCACTAGGAAACCAAGACAACACCCTGTGCATTTTTCATACATACATTGGAAATGAAATAAAGTTTAACTTTTGATCATTATTATACTATTATACTTACAGAAATAATATCCTTAGCAGTACTTGCAGCATAGTGAAACACAGAATCTGAATTATAATCCAAGTGTTCCAATGAACAATTAGCAGCAACTAGAACTTGAACAGTTTTCAAATTTTTTGTAGTAATTGCCACTTGCAGGGGAGAAATCCCTGTCTCATCATCAGTACTATTTAAATAATTGTTTATTTTAGGGTCTTTGAATGAGTCATACAAGCTAAAATATGCCGCCAAATGAGCCATATTCCATGAGGGATGATCAGCAAGAACATCACAAATCTTTTGTAATCCATGAGCATTACACATCTACAACATGAAACATTACAACCATCCACTATGTAAAATACTGACTAACTTCTTTTGAAACTTCAATGAAAACTGGTAATTTATCTTTCAAAACACAGAATTTAATTTCAGCTTCCTCAAGATTTGGGGTGCGGTATAAACTAAAATTGAATTTTATGACAAAACTTTGATATGCGTGAATTTTACAAACCTGTAGGTTTGATGTAAAGTTTCTGTATAAGGACGATGAAGTACAATTTCAAATGGTGCTCCTTTCTTGTTAGTTAAATTGTTAGCTGGCAAGTAAAGAACTAACCCATCTTCACGTAAATGTATGGCACGATCCGTAAAAGTATCAGACCTTGTTTCAATCACTTTATTCGGTGGAGGTTCAGAGCTCAGTAGACTACGTAGTACTAGAATAGTTTACGAAATTACAAAATGTAAAATTATAATATTTTGTGCAACAATTTGAACATTATTTACCATTAAAACCTTGTGCTAACATTGTCGATGCTTGAGTATTATATTACCACTGTCATGAATAAATAACACAACCTTGTAACTTCTCTTTGAAAATTACTCACAGAATTCTTGTGTCAATCCATACTTTTTAAGTTATTCGGGAAAATTATCTCACAGTTCAAGGATGATTCCTTGATTCGGTACCTTAATTCTAATAATGACGTACACTACTTGCGGTTGTATTAGGAATATTATTACAAATTTATTTCATTAATTGATATTTCAAACTTGAAGGTAAATTTTTGTAGTAACGTTTTATGAAATAATAATATGAAATTTCACATGTTCATGAACCAACGGGCTACCCGCAGATTTCTGTATGAATCACAGGTATGAATGTACTAATGTAGACGGGAAATTGACGAAGTATTTTTCAAACGTCATTTAACAGGTTTATAGGTTATGTTCCATTCATTTTGGAGGACGTAATCGCAGGCAGTGCTGAGGATTTACAAGATGTTCACCGACGATTTCGAACAGGTAATGCTCAAAATTCGTATATTTGCTAATAGTTACATTGTGTTACAAATGCATGTAATATTTATAATAAAGCAAAATAGTATCTAGAAATTCAAATATGTTGCAAATAACTACCATGTGTTTGCTGTTGAAAACTTAAAATCAACAAAATTTATACCGACCTACATGTTTCGCATGCACCATTCCCATAATATGTAGAATATTTGTTTAAACATTGACAATATATTGAAAATACAGTGACTTTCATTTATTTTTAGGGTTTTGAGTTCAACAACTATGATGAATATGGGGCTCACACTGGAGATCCAAACCTGGACAATGAATACAATAAACAACAGCTAAAGATGCCAGAAATTGTGAAAAATTTCCTAGTATATTTCCGTAATTGTGTTAATGAAGGATTAATTTTTGAGCTTCAAACATTGTATGAAACATCATGGCCCAAGTTAACTGAAGATTATTTTGAGAAGAGACCATGGCCAGAAGAATCCGAAGTAGCAGCTTTGGTCGACAGTGATCCTGTGAGTAAAATTTTACCTTCAGTTCCAATGTCTTGTACATCCTTAATCTTTTCTTTCACATGTTCACTTTTGTCCTTTATTTCTTCAGCGAGCTTTTCTTTTAATTCTTCGCCTTTGCTAGTTATCAAACTGCTTAACTGTTTCTTGTAGTGCTCCATTTCTAGTCAGCACACACAGTGCATAAGATACCACCGTTGTCGAGTACTGCTTATTTTAGAGATAGGACACGTCAGTTTCGACCCAATTTTGTAATATAGGTTGTTATGTATTATTATTTCATGTTTTATTGATTTTGAATTATCAATAGCTCGTTCTGTTTCCAGTGCTGCATGAATAATTTAAAAATTGTCAAGTATCATGAAGAGTCGAGGTTAACAGTAACTTTATTTAAAGACAAATTTTTGTGCGCATACTAATTTGCCGAAATATCACACTTAATTTTTTGGGATTGCGTTATTTTTTTGTGAATTCAAAATAGTCATAGAATAGGTTTCTCAGACATGAAGCGTCATAAGTAGGATCTTAAAATTCAGCTTTTCGCTTTTATCAAGTTGAATAAATAACTAATCATTATCTGTTAGTGATTGGAAAAATACTAGAGATGTACCGACTGTAGGTCTGGCCCATGGTAGAAGGAGACATGGTATAGGCATACGCATCGGGTGTGACGTCAAGTGGGGTGAAATTAGCGCGAAATTTAAAATACATTCTTTAAATTGCAAAAATTTATTTGTGATTATTCAGTTGTTGGAGTCGTATGTGTGATGTGATGGCAGAATTTAGGTTTATGGAGAGAACTGAGCATAAATATGTCGAAACCCTCTTTGTAACACTCAAGAGATAAGAGCAAATTGGTATTTGCATTTGCTGATGTCCTACATTTATCGAAATTGATACGAAACCACATTTTTGGACCGTTCAACTTTCAATAATTACATTTTTATCATTATTAATTTCATTAACTTTCGTTAGCCGACAACTAATTGACGTATTGGACAGAGCAATGACAACTCAAGCTGAAATTCCCTAGACTTCCCTAGCGAAGCTCACAAGAGTCACAAGGTCGTTGATGCCACCTAACGTCACAAATGGATGCGCAGACGATTTTTAAATTGGTACATCGGATGCCTATACCATGTCTCCTTCTACCATGGGTCTGGCCGACTAACCAACTACCCGATTGTTCGGCCAGTTAAAAACCGACTAGTCGGCCGATTGTTCGGCTTTGCTAAAACCGGTTTATAAATACAACAGACAGTGTGTTTTTTTTATATTTCTCTGACTACCTTAAAAATTTATTTTATTTTAATAAAAGGAATAACTAAAGTTCCTTTGTTTTCCAAAAAATGTATTAAATTTGTTTGGATAATTTTAACATTTAATTTTTTTGTAGTAACTCAGTACAAAAATAAAGAATAGCACAATTTAGGGCCAGTTTATACAATATTTTAACTGAGATTAAGTTGATCGCGCATTTAACAAGGCCATTAGCGACATCTGATTGGCGTAGAGTCGGGCACATGGTACTTTAGGGCGGTGTTAAAAATTAAATCGCAATTAAATATTTTATTGAGGTTCTGTAAACCGGTTTTAATTGTTTTATATACTATTTTAATTTTAATAAAAAAGCGGACCGATCGGCTGTTTTGCCGACTAGTCGCCGACTGCCAGCCGACGATGAAAAACGGCCGAAACTGGTCGATACATCCCTAGTTATAAATAATGTTCACCACAGTTGTATCGAGCATTGATTAAATACATATAGATAGACCCATGCTATTGTTTGGAGCGAACAGGCCAACGGCCGGCGAACAAGAGATGGCGCACGAACAGTCGGCCGTCAAACGCCGGCGAAAAGCTTGGACACCAATCACGCGCATAGGTAACACAAATCACACCAACAATACATTTAATAAATCTACCACTCGATAGAGGGCGACGAAAAAAATGTGTAAAAATCTCATAGTCAGCATTTAGATAATTTACAACGTTGCCAGATGAGCCTAACACAAGTTTGCCGTTATTTCTAGCCAAGTAGGTTTTATTTCGTTTGAAAGTTTCTGATAAAGAAATGGGATTATTATAATGAATAAAAATAAATAAAACTAGTGCTAACATTATTATAAATACGGTCCGGTAACTCAAATTTTACAGTACGAGTGAGATGTTTCAGGACGAGGCGACTGTAGGGAGCCGAGTCTTTAATTTCGAAACGAGTACTGCGAAAAGAGTTACCGGACGTATGTCGTTATGGATTTTATTTCATACTATCAACATATTTTTTTATTCGATAAAATAATTACTATTTTGAGAAAAAGTTCAAATCGAGTCACTTTTTCTGACATCGTCAGCAACCGCTGTTTGGTAAATGTTTTAATTTGTTTATTCGTGCAAATCAGCATCAAAAATGGTGTTTAAACACATAGTAACACTTTACAGGACTTGTTCTTTTTAGCTCAATTTTACCGGACTTGTCCGTTTTTTTTTTATTTTACCGGACTCCTTCGAATCCAGTAAAACGTGAAATTTGACACAGTATGAAGTAAAATAAATGTAAATAACACATTGGAAATTTTTTCTACGCTTTTATGTGCTCGCTTTTGTTACTAATAATACAAAGGAAAATGGTTTTAAATGCGTTTTCTCAAAACTTACTATATTTTTTTAGAAAATTTATTAGACTAGAGACGGACAGATATATGCTAAAGACAAAACATATGCATTCATATATATCTTAAAAAACGGGTAACATATGCCGCATAAAGTCAAAAATCAGATATTTTCTTTCACAATTTATGATGTAAATACAATTAAGTATATCGATAACTCGCTACTGAAAATTTATTGAAATATAATTTGTGTTAAAAAAAGGTTTTTGTGGTTTTATGGTTTATTAACATAATTTACTTATTTAAATTAAATATTTTTAATACATAGCACAAGTTCTCGATATTCTTTATTTTTATTCCAAGTAATAATTGTGTTTCCTTTAGTTTTAACCAAGAAAATTTTTCGGTTATTATCTAACATACTTTTGTACATTAAAAAACTCCATTCCACGTCGCAGGACGTTACAGGACAATATTTAAATAAATAAAGAAGTCGTTTTTATGTGTTTTAAAATTCACTCTGATTTCCGAACTTTAGACTTTTTGGTGTTTCACTTCGGCACAAGAACTACTCGTATCTCAAAGAAAACAAAGAGTGGAAAAATGGAACAGCTTTAGAAACTATTCTTTTATTTGTTCTGTCTTGCAGCGAGAAAAGAATATAGCGTATTGTACCTATATTTCATAGTAAAATTGTCGATCCGGTTTAAAATTTTACCCACCTAATTACGTAATTACGTTAACAAACTAAAATTTTCATTGAAGAGACAGACTGTTCTAGGAAACTTCACTAAATCTCTTTATTTACGAGCTATTCAAAGACCGCCGGTCTCACTGATATTTCTTACCTGGCTCCTACGAATGAAGCGAAAAATGCACACTCAGATTGGAAATATAGTAAATGGGGTAGTAGAGTTCCCTCAAACATATAAGGCGTTTATGACTTCACACCAATTTGACTCCCATTATAATTCAATAGGCCGTCACAACCGGATGTCCTAAACCCGCTCACCGATACCTACCTGAAAAAACCTTTTCCGGTAAAAGCACAGGGCAGGACTGAGTTTTGAATTTACCGACAACTGCGCCTTTCGATTTTTTTATTTTAAGTAAAAACAAAGTAACTTTGTACTCAATCATTTTTTATTACAGCAAATTAGTTAAAATTTTGACATACACAACTATTTACTTATTAACTACTACTACTGCTTATTTATTGATCGAAATGGTCACTGTCATCATCACTCGACTCTTCTAAATTAACAATTAACGGTTTTATCAACCGTGCCCTGTACTGGTCTTTTCCTGAATTTATTCTTCAAGAAGGCAATGTGCTTTGTAGCTTCTGCTACAAACCGCATTTCTATTTACAAATATATGTTTTCGGACTATCGGCAAAATTTTTTGCTACAATATTTCGAAAAGTATTTAAAAATAAATTGCTACAAAAATACAAATTAAATGGCCTATTACTATTAATTTTTATTTATTTGTCACTATTTAGTGTAAGACAATAATTTTTAAAAATTTTATTTATCTATGTATTTTTTATTAAAAAAATTAAGCTTGATAAACCTGTTTTTATAATTTGTAAATAAATTTAGTTGTGTTATTAGTACACTTCTTTTCAATTTTTGGAGGATATGCAACTGCATATCTCTGCATACATATATTAATAAAGTTACAGCATATTTGCATAAATTTTATGCATATTACATGATCATAGTTCTCAAAATTTTGCTGCATACTTTTCGCTCTCTAGTCATATATTATTTTTAATATAACAGCAATATGAATGTACCCTCTGGATTTGAAACAAAAGACGGTGACATCGTCAAAATTATTTGATTTATCAAAAAACTTAGTGGACCAGTTTTCTATTATTGCGATCGTACTTATTAAAGATTTTATGTTTTTTGCTTTCAGTATCTTAATAATATTTTCAAATGTGCAGAATAATGATTAAATAATTAAGGTACGGAAGAAACGTTTTAAAAACAAAATTACTCTTAGTCCGGTCCTTCGCGTCTCGGCCGTCCCTGGCACGTGGCATGGTTTACATTTATAGTGAACCAAGACCTATAAGGTTATATGGCCATCATAAAAGTAGTTGACCGCAAATAAATACCCCCTTTGTGTGGTTCGCACTAAGCTTACCGGTTGGCAATAAATCATCTTCTAAACATTTCTTGCTCATATTTAACAGGGCCGGCTTTCAAAGCGAGTGGTTATTTCGGAACCCTCAGCGGCTGCAGGTAGTAAAGAAATAGTGGAGTGCTGGATTTTCATATTTAGTGAAAGCCGCCCCTGAACGAAACCACAAAAGCCGGTCGAGCTGCAGTGGACACGTTATTTACGACCCTAAAACCTTTTCTATTGTAAACAACTTAA